CTGGTCAAGTACTGAAAAGCATAGTTGCTAACCTGGGTCTATGGCAGGTCGTCAGACAACCAACAAGAGAGAAAAATATACTTGACTTCGTTGTCACCAGTCTGCCTGCTGTAGAATCATCTGTCCATCACCACCTCAGTAGTGACCATCTCGGAGATTACCTCCACCGCTCTTGTGGAGACCAAGTCCTACCTTTACTTTGAGGATAACCTTCGATGTGTTGTGTGACACTACACCATGAAAAATTGCATGGACTTTGAACAGATCTAGCAACTGAAGACTTGGCATCCGTTAGGCACTGTGGGCCATCAGCAGCAGAATCCTATTCAGACACAACTTGAACCTCATGATTCAGCATATTCCCTCTCTCTACTGTTACTACCAAGTCAGGATATCAATCCTGATTCAGTTAAGAGAGCTGGAGAGCATGCGAGGATCAGTACAAAGCATAGCTAAAAATGCGAGGTCAACCAGGTGAAGCTAAAAACAAAGCTATTTGCATGGCAAACAGCCCTAGAAGCAATTGATAGACAGAGTAAGCGATTACACAATCAATGGATAAGATCTACATTCTGCAGTCCTGCCACATCCAGTCATGAATAGTGGCGAACAATTAAACAACTAACTGGATGGGGGATCATGATGGGGGAGCCCAGCACATCAATGCAAAATATAAGGCTGAAACACTTGCAGCAATCTCCAACCAGAAGTGCCAAGTGGATGATTGATCTTGGTCTCCTGCAGTGATCCCCAAAATCACTGGTGCCAGTCCTCAGCCAATTTGATTCGCCCATGTGATATCAAGAGTGGTTGGAGCACTGGATAATGTTCCAACAATAATACCGAAGACTAAGATGACTGACCTCAACAACCATGACTATCTTTACTTGTGCCAGGTAAGACTCTAGCCAGCAGAGAGTTTCCCCCCAATTGTGGGTGTATCTATACCTAATGGACTGCAAAGGTTCAAGAAGGCAGCTCACCCCCACCTTCTCAAGGAAACCACGGGTGTGCAATAAATGCTTGCCCAAGCAGCACGGCTCATATTTCATGGATGAACTTTAAAAAAGACAGAGCTCCATTTTCTAAAAATCCTAGTCGGGAAATCTAACTATTGCAACCCATCTTCTCTGCTCAATAAATGCATTGGGATTCCTACAGTTCCATGCATGATAAGATTTCCTTTATCAGCACCCTTATAACATTTGGCCACTGTGCAAGCTTGATGCTAAGGTAGGGTGCATCAGAGACATCATGTAAGCTAATCAGCTACCCTGATCAGATCATTTGTTGCTGTATATTGTGCAAGATCATGAATGGGATCAAGACCATCACTTTTGGTCCTAAAAGTACACAGTCTACCTCTAACAAGGTATCTCAAAAGCTTCAGCACGAGATCTTGCAGTCAAGCCAAAAAGACATTCTGCCTATCACACAAATGTAGTAAGTCATTTTCAGCACCAGTTCTTGCAAATCCGAAAACACAGTTCCTAAAGTTTGATTGGACTATATTTGCTAAGCAATTCTAGTGTGCAAAGAATTGCGCTGACAACCCAGTTGAAGACTGTCAGTCAAGATTGCAATGCTGAAAGCTACGTACATAATATACAGGGGCCTGTTATTTGCAGACAGAAAGAACGTGTACATTCACTATGCCTGTTCCAACTCAACAACATAAGTGACAGCCATTCTCTGGTACATTGCTCAGGGCAATGCCTAGACCAATCAGAGTCAACATGACTTTCAAAATTTAAATAAAATGTAGCAGTTAAATGTCAGTCATCATCTAATTGGTCATTCTCCATGGCAATGCCTTCATCAATTGTGAAGTAATTAGCATGTCCTATCATACAGTATAAATGTTGTTGTCCCTGTATATTAATATTTCAAGTGAATTGGTTTGATGTATGCAAGATGAAAACCTTCAACAAATGTGTCTATTGTCTGCAACACTCAAGTTTAAAATTCTCCAACACTACTAGGGATCAGTACCTAATATTTTCTCTGCATCATGCCCATGCTTCAATCTCTGCTCTGTCCCTTGATGACTAAAACAGAACGTTGTACTAAATGTGCATGAATTTCCTTCTCTTTCTAAGGAAGAGTGAATTTGCTTGGAACTTCTCTCGCTGTCTTGCTGTAACTTAGAACTGGAACCTGCTTTCACATATAAAGGGTTCACTGCAGTTAAGATAGCATTGAGAGAGAGACATCCAATGAAAATGTACAATGTATGTAAAGCCTGCTTCTAGTACTCTGAGTTTGATTACATCCAACTATTTTGCCTTTAGAGTTCAGTATCCTATTTTAGTTGCTGAAATATAGTGCTTAGATATGTTGCTATTTGAGTTTATGGGAGATGACTGGAAACACTACTGGATGAGTAATTTAGAGACTCAAGCTAATGCTCTGAAGGCATTGCTTCAAATTCCACTATGGCCGCTGGTGGAGTATAAATTCACTCAATGTATGGGCAGTTTAAAGCTCGTCTCAATACCAGTGACCATGATTGACTGTTGCAAAATTTCATCTGGTTCACTAATAGCCTTTAGTGAAGGAAACCTGCCATCATTAAATGGTCTGGCCTCTATGTGACTCTGGACCCACAGTAATATGGTTGACTCTTAATTGCCCCCTGAAGTACCTTAACTAAACAACTCACTTCAAGAACATTTAGGGATGGCCAACAAATTCTGGCTTTATCAATGATGCCCACATCCTGTGAAATAAATGAAGAATGCCCATACCCAAACTTGGCTGTTGTGGGATTTTTTTGATATTTACTCGTTACCATTTTATCAACTGTGTTCAATGCTTCACACTTGCATTCCTCCATGAAGTACCTTTTACTGTTATATATCGAGAGTTGTCCTTCCACCTATACATCTTCTCTAATTAACGTGTACTGCCTAAACTGCATCGACAAATTCAACTATGCTTTCTAGTTTTGTTTGTCCAAATGTACTGACAGCACAAAATGGCTATCTTCATTTCTGTATAAGGATTTCTCGGATCAAGGTGCTTTCTTTAATTAATTTTGTTATTGTAGACCATGTAACAGAATAACTTTCCTTAACTAATAATTTGAATAGTACAAAATTAACAATTTAAACAATGTGTATCTTTAATATGATACTAAAAGAACCAACTATTTATGATCTACTGGGGGAACTTTATTCTTTTTAAGGTTTTGGTCTAATCTGCTCTTGATGTTCATACAGGATACCTGAGTAGAGTAAAAGCTACAATGGACTACGATGGTCACGATTGTAGATTCCTTACATTCAAGTCTGGAGACTCAATACTTGTTTATTTTAAGTTGGTTGGGAAAAGAGGTGATTTATGGGCTGGAAGTGTAAGTATTATATTCTGTGGTGCATTATTTTGTTTCAAAATATATTCACATTCCATTTTTGTGAAATTGATTTGGTTCGTTATGTTCCTACCTGATGGGCCAATTGATAGATACTCGCATATTGTGCGTACCTCACCACTTCCATCACTAACCAACTCCAGACCTACAACAACATTCATATGAAGCATTTAACATGCTAAAATCTCCCATGCAGTTCACAGAACTGACAAAATTGACACTGAGTCAAAGAGGTAAATAACAGGATGGATGAAAAAATATTTGGTGAAGAGGTAAGTTCAAAGGAGGGAGAGATGGAGAGGTTGGCATTTCTGTAGCAAAGCATATCTGCCAATTTTGGGGTAAAAGTAATGCAGGATTGCTCAAAAGGTCAGAACCTGAGCAAAACAGAGTTTGTAGAAAGGTGGAGAAGGTTACGAAAGTGGACAGGATAAGGTTATGCAATGATTTTAACACAAATGACAAATTTAAACTCAAGGCAGTGTTGGATTCAATGGCTGACAATACAGAGATGGGTAGGAAAGTAAGCTGTGATGAAGATACAAAGAATTTGTGAAGAAACATAAAAAGCAAAAATAATGTGGGAAAATGTCAGGTTGTTCACTTTGGCGGAATAAAAAATAAAAATATTATTTAAATTGAGAGAAACTGCAAGTGTTTTAGCACAGCAGGATCTGGGTGTCCTTGTGCATGATTCACAAAAAGTGAGCATGCAGATACAGCAAGTAATTAGGAAGGCGAATGGCATGTTCACTTTGATTGAAAGAAGGTGGCATATAAAAATAAGGAAGTCATGCTACAACTTGGTGAGCTTTGAGCATTGGTGACACCACAACTTGAGTATTGTGGTCTCTTACTTCAGGAAAAATTGAAGAATGAACTTGAAATGTATTTGAATGCATTTGAAATGTTTCAGAGAAGGTTCACTGTGCTGATTCCTGTGATGAGGGGTTTGTCTTGTTAGGAAAGCTTAAGAAAATTGGGCCTGTACTTGTTGAAATGTTTGAAAAATGAGACATGATCTTATTGGAATATATAAGATTATGAGATCGCCTGACGGGGTAGTTGCTGAGAGGATATTTCCCCTTGAGAGGGCATCTGGAACTAAGCAGCACAGTTTTTCTTTAAATCTCCCATTTAAGCCAGAAATGAAAAGAACATCAAATGAGTTGATAATCTTTAGATTAACGCCTCACTGAGCTGTGGAGGCTGGGTTATTGAATTTAATAAAGATTGATCTTTGATCAGGAAGAGAGTCGAGGATTGTGGGGCATAGTGGGATAGCAGAATTAAGGCCACAATCAATTCAGCCGTGATCTTACTGAATGACCCCTTCGCCCTCAAATTTCTTATGATTTTATGGATAGGAGGCCATTAGGACAATTTTGTAATAGTCACTGGTGAAGATAACCTGATGGATGTGAGTTTCAGGAACAGGCATGCAGAGGAGGAGTAGAAATAAGCTGTAATATGCAGGTTGGTGTAAGCAATCTTTAATACCTATTCCTCTGATTCTGACCTCTTGTGCATTCCCTTCCTTGATGACCATTCTGAAAGGAACGACCCCAGCCTCTGGAAAAAGCCCCTTGCCTTCACCTTAAACTTTACATTCTCCCACCCCAATTGTTTTGCAATGTACAAGATACAATGGTCCAAGCCCCATTTTCAATCCCTTAAATCCAATGGACTCCAATTTGAACATAGTTCATTATTGGTTTAGCCCTTGCACAACAAAACCTGATTAAACTTCATCAAACATTTGCGGGCTCTGCTTTCTTCTGCCAAAACTGTTCACTGCTGGAGTCTGCAATGCAAACAAAACTCCTGGCTTCTTGTCATCATGAGCAACCATGCTGTTTCAGACATCATGGGCAGAATCTTACCGGGCCCTGAACTATGTCAAGAAATCTGGGAGGATTGTGTGAGAGGTCAAGCAAAGGCTATCTTGACATTGGGAACAAGAGGTTGCATTTCCAAACAGAGCCCTGGGCATCAAGACAAGATTCTCATTAGGCATTGCTGAGGTGCCTATTGAAAGGGAATTCTTGCTTATATCGTCCTCATTAACTGCACATCTTGCCTCATGAATATGCAGATTTTTACCATGAGAAAACAAGATGGTGAGAATTCTTGACCAGAAAGTCTGAGCAGGTACTGGTGACTTGAGCGGCCACTTTCTCCACTGGACCTCCATTGGACACCTAGCAACAACATCTCAGGGCACTCTCCAAGCCCATCGACTGATACTGACAACTGAGACCGCCCAGCCCCTCAGGACCCTCATGGAACTTCTTCAATCCACTTACAAGGTGCTTCTGCACTTTAAAGCTGGTCTTCGGGATGCACAGCAACCAGCATTGAAAGGCTGTTCAAGGACACACTGCACTGCATCCGAACTCAGAGACTTGGCCAGGCCATATCTCAGGGCACCTTATTTGGTCTTTCATGCCCACTCACTTTGAAACTATCTAGATGTCCATGGTATCCTTGCCTTGGCTTGCCTTTTCTCATGAAGAGAAATGGCCAAAATTGTTATTTAGTCAAAATATGGTGGGATTCTGCCCAATCTTTTCTCATCCTCGTTAAAATTCCTGCCTGGCTTTGCTGTCTCTTTAACGAATTTCAGCCCATTAGGAACTCTGCATTTCTACAACCCTGGCTACTGGTGCTTCATGTACTTCTTTTGCCCACCATTGATGACCATGCCTTCACTAAGCAAAACTATGAGCTCTCAAATGCCCTCTCTGAACCTTGTCACCTCTCTATCAGTCTGCCCTGATTTAAGATGGTCCTTAATACTTGTCTTTTTGACAAAAACTTTAACCACCTGACCTAATATCTCCTTTGGCTCAATGTCAATTTTTATTTGATCACATTTCACTGATATTACATTAAACACACTACATAAATACAAGTTATTTTTGTTAGACATGGTGAACCCAATAGAATTAATCATTGCATTGCTTACCTAGTCAGTGGATTTATATAATTCCCAGGATCATAAAAATAGTACTCCTTTCTTTATGAAATGCATTCAGTAACTAGAAATGAATTGCTTTGGATTCATTGTGTTTGGTAAGTATGAACCTAAGTTATTGCACATCATACATAGTGGAACAAGGGTTCCATCAACACTTTTAAAATTTTTATCACTCATAGAGTACATATACTAATGTTTTCCAACATTCAAGTCTTTAAAATTAAAAACAACATGTGCTGTGCAAACTCAGGGGGTCTTGCATTATCAGTGGAGAAAGAAACAATGTCGGTGTTTTGGATCCAATATGACTTCTTCAGAAGTGGACTTGAAACATTAACCTTCTTTCTTCCTCCACAAATGCTGCCATAGATGCTGAAATTCCCCATACTTTTTGATTTTATTTCAGATCTTCAGCATTTGCAGTGTTTTGCTTTTATCTTAGTGCAAACATTTATGATGTTCTTCAGTTAACTTGTAATGATTTTGTTCTATTTTAGATAGGAAAACAGTTTGGGTATTTTCCAAAAGATGCAGTTCAAATTGAAGATGTAATAGTATCAACTGAAATAGAACTGCCAACCAAGGTAATCTGTGAATTAATGTACTTAACTTTATGCTTGCTCCATTAAACATTTCATGACTATATCCTATTGCAAAGTTTTCAGATATTAATTTTTAGATCCACCCAAATAACTCTGAGTCATGCCAGAACTAGAGCAGAAATATTTGTACCCCTGAAAAATAATTTTGGAATAAAAAAAAATGCTGATTCTGAATACTTAACTTGAAAACTGTAGGCAGGACTTCCTCAGTGAACTCACAGTAATAAATATATTCCACACCAGGTATAGCTTTTTATTGTAATACAAACTGAAATGTATAAATATAGTTTTTCTGATCAATGCTATTTCATTTCAACTTGCATTTTCAATTCTTTAACATAAGCTATCATTAGAATTTTATTCAGAATATTCTTCCCAAAGTAAATTTTCTATATTAGTATTCCATAAACTTCCAACTACACCTTTATCATGGATGTTTTTATTCCACTGTCAATCCCCGTATCTAAATTAAAACAACCCATATGCAATAAACACAGAAGAACAATGGATCCTAAATCAGAATTATAAACTTAAGATTATGCATGTGTTTTTTTTTCCCACCCAGGAAAGTGACTTCCTTTGCCTTGATGGTGATTATTACGTTGGAAGTGAAGAAAGTGGTTCAGTCAATGGTGAATATGGAGAAAATTCAAATTCAGAAGAAATAAAATCCATATTAGGACATCAATCTGAGTCCAACATAAACAGCCAGGATTACAAAGGTAATTCTGCTAAAGATGAACCTGTGGACAATTTAGTTAATCTTTATAAAGAGCAGTTTCAAAGAACACATCATGCTACAGATGATGCTGTTTTAGAGATGACACCCGGTAACGAACAATTTCAGCCAAGTCTAGCAACTGATGCAGTTGGACAAATCAATGAGTTTCTTTCACCAGCTGATTATCTGAATCAATTAAATGAAGCAAGTGCCTCAAAACACACAGAAAACAATGAATTAAAATTAGACACAGGTCCTGAATCTGTACACAGAGAATATATTGACCCAAAAGGTGAACCTTCCGGGCAGGAGATCGGTGAAGAACCTGCTATCACATCTGAAAGTAATGAAGAATCTAAATTTCTGCAAGAAGCATCTAGCTGGATTGGATCTAGAATTAGCGGGTGGTTTGGTTCAAAAAGCAATCTGAATAAAGAGCCTGTGGAATCTACAGACCAGTCTTTACAGATAAACTCCTTTAAAAGTCGAAAAATTGCATTAGGCAATGCTGAAAACGCTGCAATGTCTGAAGTGATGGATGATCAAATTAACGAGCATTACAAGGACAAAGAAAAGTCATCCTGGATTAATGGTTTGTCCAATTTGTTCAGTTTCACCAGTGATTCACCAGAAGATGCTTTATCCAGTGATGATAATAAAGGTAAAGAAGAGCTTGAAAATGTAAATTCATATTCTGTTGATGATTCAACAGTCCCAAGTAAAAGTGAGATACCTAACCTGGAAAACAAAATGCCTGACCTTTCAGTTCCAGCTGAAGTAAGGCTACAATCAAATAGTCCAGAGAAACCAGCACAACATACCAATGAAGCTACTCAGAATTTAATGGATAATGATCAGTTGAGGTTTAAATTTACTGACAAAGTATGGGCTGGCCTAACTGGTAAAGCTGAGGATTCAGGCATATCCAAAGAAACAGAAAATGTTGGAGTAGATAATCCAATGGATAAAAATGATATCACTGAAAGCAATGAAAACACAATGAATAGCGAATCTGAAGTTTGTTCTCGCATACTTGCAGTGGATCAGGTTCCAAGAGAAGGGGATGCATTGATTGTTGATTCATTAATAAATGAAGAACCAATCCAGTACCCAGAAGTGAGTCTCTGTAAAATGGAGAATGATATTAATTGCCACTCTGAAGGCTTGCAGCAGGCTGCAAAGGAACATGGGGTAATACAAAGTGAAAACACTCAATTTGTACATTCTACAAATAGTTTAGAAAATAGTTTCAGATTTGATAGCACAGCATCAAAGCTTAAAGATATGTGGAAACTAGAAGCTCAAAATCTACAAGAGCAAAATTCAATGTTAGATTCAAAATTTGTGGGGGATAATAAACCTTTGACTCAGGACAGTCTCCACAAAGAACAATATCTGCAAGAACATTTAAAAATTCCTTCAGTAGTTAAACAATCTAGCTCAGATTATATGACGTCAACGACACGTAAAGATCTACAAATTGAAGAAACATCACGTAGTCAACATGATTTTTTACACAACCAGGATCTAATCTCTTCAATGGAAGAATTTGGTGTTGTAAGTAAGGGTGAAGCTTTGGAATTTGGGTTGCATGAGGAACAACAACATGTAACATTAGATTCTGAATTAGCACCTACTAGAGATCAGAGTTCAGAAAGTATAGTAGCTAACACTGCAAAACCTTCAGCAGGGAACAAATTACAGGCTGAAGAATGTTTACAACATAATTTAGTTTCTGAATTGGAACCAGATCTGCATCTTTCAAATACTGCTGATTCCATGTCACAGTATACCTTACAGAATAAAGAAAAATTTTCACAAGAAGACATATTAATAAAATCAGACTCACAACGTATTGCTGTGACAGACAGTGATCAATTTCCAGAAAAAGAATTGCATCATGAACAACTAATCTCACAGCAGCGAAATATTGAATCAACAATGGAACTTGAACAGCTTGGTATTTCAGGTGAAAATAAGCTATTATCCCAGATGCAAACTTTTAATGAACAGCAAGCTTTAAATTCTGAATTTGATGACGGTGTTCCTTCTTCACAGGATGAACTGGGGAACAAAAAAGGCATTACAGAAGGAAAGCATGTAACATCGGCAAAGCAGCACACTTTAGATAGTTATAATCTTTTAACACAGAATGTAAAACAAGCTTTAGAGGAAATCTATCCATCAAGTTTGGTCGATAAAAAGATCACAGTTACAAATACCTATGGTCCTTCCTTACAAAAACAACTGAGTGATGAAACCCAGAGAGTACCGTCTCTGCAGCCAGTTTCAGATCCTACTCAGGCTCTGCCACGGGAAAAATTTTACAGTGGCAGCAACACCTTGCAACAACAAGCCCCAGTATCAGACTCTGAATCCAGTCAGCTTACTTCAGATCATGGTAAAGCTGAATTACAGCAATGCCTGCATGAAGAAGAGCATGTTTTCAAAGAGTGTCCACCCATAAAACCTGAATCTAATCAGGCTGCTCCAGATGTTGATAAATCCCTTTTACTGAAAAAACATGATGGACAAGACTTGCAAGAACACCAAATAAGTTGTACTTCTGAATCTAACAGGCTTTCTGTCTTGGGTCATAGTAAATATGCATTGTCTGAAAAATTGCATGATAATGAGGAAATTCTCCAGGCAAGCGTTTTGACACTTGGACAGTCTGAACAGCATACTGATTCAGATAAAGATAAACTTCTGTTAGATGAAAAAATGGATGATAAACACCGTGTCTTACAGAGACAATATACAGTTTCAGATTTAGCTTTAAGACCATTTACTACAACAGATAAAACAGAATCCTTATTGCAAGAAAAAGAACAAACTTTTTCAGATCATTTATCAAATTCACAAGTCGAAGACTTCAATGTTTCAAATGATGGCAAAACCTTGAAACAGGAAAACTCTTTCCATCAACAAAAAATCATGGGCGATAAAGTAACTTTAGAATCAGGAGAACAATCTGTTGTTTTACTTACCACAGAGGATTTCTCAGAGGAAGAAACAAAAGTAAGCAAAGTTAATAGTAACACAACCATAAATAGTGCAAAAAGAAACAAGATGCATAAAACTATAGAAGCTGAGCCTTTAGGAGAGCTTGTGAATTCACTGCTTTCTGAGAATATGAATCTTACTGGAGAAAGTTTCAGTAGGGCTGAGGACACTGATACTAAAGTTGAACCACAACAGATTATCGAGGAAATAAGGGGAGTTGAAACAAATGACAACCATAGAGAGATTAAGGATACAATAAGTGAAAAAGCCACACAACCATCGATTGATCCTATTACCCTAAATGCGTGGACAGAAAAAGCATTGAGTGATTCTGAAAAGCTGACAGACATCTCCACTCATATACGTCAACATACAAGTCAGTTAATTGCAGCAGTTAAGCCTAATCCAGATGCTGCCACTGAAAATATAAATCAAGCTATTTCTGAAAATGAATATAAAACAAGACATGTGACTGATGAAGAAATAACTGTAGCAAGAGATATTAAATTCAGTGACGACCAAACTAGCAGTTCCTGGGGAGTACAGTCACCTTTAGAAGAAGGAAAGAAACCATTTGAGAAACTCAGAGTAAGGCATACGTCATCTGATAGCACAAACCTTTATAGTGATCTTAAATTATTAAAAGAGCACATGGGTATTGCTCATCTGCAGCATTTGGAAGGATGCTTTGATAAAACAAAGCTCTTATGGTTGGAAGAAATTCTTGAACAGCTAGAGAATGAGAATTGTAATAATGGTTTTAATAACATTCTCCAAAAAGTAAACACTTTTGAAGATAGTTTCTGGGAAAACAAAGACTTCAAATGTGACAAGAATGATGCAAATATTGAATATATAATGAGGGAAAGCCAACATGATGAAGATACAGGGATGTTTCAAAAGCTACAAGATATCCTAACTGCCATCAAAATGAAATGCACCTCAAATGACTCTAGTTCAAGCACCATTAAAGGTATTGGATAATAAGTTAATGGGAATATTGCAATTTCCAACATACGTCTCTGTATGTTTTCAAGGAGGAGAATCAAGTACATTTTAAAAGTATACTTAATTTATATCTTGGAAAATTTCATTCGCACATTGTTATCACTGTAAAAGGGAATAACGTCTTACTCAGTCCATGGGGTCAGAGACAATACCATCTCTGGGTATGAGAGATAGTAGAAACTGCAGATGCTGGAGAATCTGAGATAACAAGGTGTAGAGCTGGATGAACACAGCAGGCCAAGCAGCATCAGAGGAGCAGGAAAG